CGCTTTTCGCCTGGAGCGCGTGGCAGAGTCGCGGGGGAGGGGGGGCGAACATGTCACACCCGCCCTTCGAGCTCCCACACAGGATCCCTCCTGTCGCCCCTCTCTGTATAGGAGAGAAGGCAGCTCCCCTCTGGCTGCTCTCGCGTCCCAGTATTTCCGGTTGGAGATCTCTTTGTTTAGGCATATCCCGGTACACCGCCTGTTTCCAGAGCATTGCGTTGGCTGGTCCTTGAGGCTGCCTCGTCGTAATTGAACCGCATTAGTGGCCGCCGCTTGAACCTTCTCTGTATTTGCAACACATTGGATGTGCAGCCCCTTTTGCTACCCGTTGCATTTGCTGTGAAGTCCTAGTGCGCGCGCTGCACCTGGGAAAAATGGAAACAAAAGCATCGTGTGGCGCCTCATACCTTATTCTGGGTTAAGTCTTGGTCTGCAATCCCATTCATCAGACTGAATTAGAAACGGTCCATTCCCTCCTTACTCCAAACACGCACAGGCTAATTGCTGGCATTATCTATTTCTGCTGTGATTGTACAGACTGTGTTTAGGCTATTGACAATTAGGTTAATCCTTCTATAAGGTTAATTCCCACAGGGGTTGCAGGATAGTATATTATACTTCATCAACATATATGAAATCTTTTATGGATGAATTGCTTTTATCCAAAGTAGAAAGCACCCTTTCAATCCAGTTCTTCTCACCTGTACTATTGCCTATGAAAGAACCATAAAATATTATGACACTAAAACACCAAGAAAGATGAATAGTCACCACTGTGAAATTTACAGAAGGTATTCCACAGGTTTATATATGATGTTATACATGAGGCCGGAAGACTAGCCATTTGGATAGATCAGCAATTTTAAGATCAAGGATCCTAAAGAAAGTTGGACACAAAACTGTAAGAAGAGAAATATAATCAATGTATTCCTGAGCTTTGGAATGGTACAGAACCTGGTGTGGTATCTTAATTTTTTCCAGCAGAGCAGTGGCAGAAATACTTAGTTCAGTTTAAAACTAGCCTGGATCTATTGTTTTTACCCACTATAGGCTATGAAATGGAGAGTTTCACATGAAATTGCAAGGCATTTCAATCAGTTTAGTTGGTTATGATAAGAAAGGGAAAAAATAACATTAATTCTACTATGTGCTAGTCTTTGAGCTGGGGAATTCATTCTAAAAGAGCAATGGACAGGAGAATATATCCACTGACATGGCTGGCTTGACCATAAGCAGGAAACTCTCCTATTCCCATTGCTAAAAGTCATAACAATTGCTTGGCCATTTGACTGGTTCTTTGAAGTTGCTCCTTTACATATAGGCTAATAGTAAAGCATAACTGCAAAATACCAAATTGGTGGCATTTGGATTACAGGAAGGATGTGAGTTTGAAAGCAAAGCAAGCATCCTTGACCCCCCCAGAGGTTAGCTGCTTCACTAGTTTAGACACGTCACCCAATCTGCTCAAGTCTGAATCCCACTTGCCATCTGCTGAGCTCTCAGCATCATGAAGAGGATGATGTGTAGGAATGATGGGCCTTTGCTGTTCTTGCTGCCTTCTCCCCTCCCACATTTGGTATTCAGCAGCTCAATTTAGATTCTCCTCTGCTATACCAGATGATTAATTCTGCCTCGTGGACTGGAAAGCCTTTCTTTGTCTTAGTGCTATACTCTAGCAGAATTTGAGTACATTTAAAATCTTCCTCTAAAATGTAAATGGTTGTACAAAGATACTATAACCCCCATACTGGCACTCAAAATTGTATGTGGCCTCTATTTTTGAGCACGCCAAACAATGTTTTAAATTGTCCAGCTCTGGGTATTACATCCCTAATCCCAGAAGTTCCATCTATTAGGCTATTATTTATTTGTCACAATGGGGAGAAGGAGTTGACATACTGTACTTATATTCCTGTCTTAGAACCTAAAGCATACTGTACTCACTTTTGGCTCAAACCAGCACATTTCTGAAAATATGTAAACTCTGAGTATAGTATATGAAAGAAAGGCTTTTGGAATCAAAGGAAGATGAGGTGACAGAAAGCAAATGTATTACAAAATAAGAAACATTGTGTGAAGTTTTAGAATGCTTTAATATCAAATTACTCCCAGCTACAGGTAAATGGAATATCTGCTTACAAACTTTTATCAGATTTGCAGGGTTCGTAACAATATGACTTAATACATGCTAACCTTTTAAAAATAAAGTTTTATATTGATACATATAGTTCAGTGAAACATTAATGTGTTTGAAAAAGTTGTAAAGAAAACTTTCTGAAGTTTTCAGCCTCTGTCTTTGTGTGCTCTTGCCCAAATAAGTAAGGTTCTAAAATTTTTGTTTAGAAAATGCTTTTCATTTCCAAACAGCCCTTTGGGATGGACTGGAATGTAATCTTGGATGATTGACAAGGATTCAACAAAACATAAGCATAAGTATTTGGCAAAGCATTAATCTCCCATACAAATGTAATGTGCATATAAAGGAAATAATTTTTTATGAATTTACAATGTGTTATGAAAAGCTAGTGGCTTGAGGTCTCGAGCATAACTGCAAACAGGGTGCAGAAAAGAAAACAAGAGAATATGGCACTTTAAAGATTTGTTGTCAATATTAAAGATTGATTGTAATAATGTTTTTGTTGTGTTCACTACAACAGCCATTCTTCTGGGAAATGATGTGAAAGCTTCATGGACTGCATATGCCCACACTTAGAGAAATGTAAAGGGAACATATTGATTTGTCCTTTCCTGATTCCCATCCCATTTTACATAAATTGAGACTGATCTGTAATTCCCCACCCCCACTCCAATTTGGGTATACAATAAAGTTCAAAACTGAATGATCTCTGTAGAGGACAGACTACTGTATTTATGATATTTGTGTACAAGAATGGAGTTTATGTGTACATACATTAGTATATGCTGCCTTTGAAAATGGGAATAAAAACAATAAGAACTATGAAAGCAAGGCACTGTGGCAAGAAAAAGCAAAGGCTGGTTGCCACATTTCTGTCTGAAGGGACTACAACAGGGCATGCTTTCTATGGATTAGTCATATGAACCCAATTACTTCTAAGAATCATACAAAATATCCAGGTAAAGTGAATGTTTGACCTTTGGGCCTTAAAGGAAAGATAACAGATTCAGTAAATTATATGGCCTGATGAAGCAACATAGATTGGTATAGGAGAAAGCAAACACTGTTTTGCCCTGTTTAAAAAAAAAATGATACTCAAAACTTCATTCTATATTAATTGGCCTGCCAAAATTATTTTACCGGTACCTACAATAAACTGCATCCATACTGAACACAGAACGAATTTTTAAAATATTTGCTTATTGAATAATCCATACTGGTAGGCTATCAAATCTGGGCTGCAGAAATCCAGAGTATTACTAGATGTCAGAAATAAAAAGAGAATACTTAATCCTTTGCTGTTATCGAGTGGTTACCTGGATTTCTGCAGCCCAGAAATGGTACTTCTACATAATGGTTGGGTTTGCTCATCACCTTAAACCAAAAACAGAACCACAAGATGGCTTATGTGTGAATCCTGCCATAGTCTACACTTTTAGAAGTGTATTCATTGTGAATTAACCTGAAAGTTAATAAAGAATTAAATTCAGCCAACTAGTGAAAAAAGTATCTGATGCTTAGAATGATCTCCATTCCCTGGAAAGTGTCTTGCTCTTCTTTGTTTTTAAACAGTGAAATATGATTTGTAGCTTCTTTTTTTTTAGCAGCAATTAAGCTGCCTTTGGCTGATCAAGCTGGGATTTGGTTAATCCTGACCAGGAGGAAATCCCGAATTTAAAGACTAGACAGGGAAGTGAAAAAAAAAATATCGGAAGATAACAATGGGAAGAAACCACATCTATACTGCTGCCAAGAAGTTTGTACAGTACGTATTCACCAGAAGCTGAGCTCAGGTCTGAGGAATCTTTACGTTTTCATCATCCCTGTTTGTGGCTTAGGCAATAAAGGCGAATCTATGCTTTCAACAGAATGAGAGAGAGAAAAGACCCGAAGTGGCAGATTGGAAATCCCACTTCAGCCTGCAAAGAAGCCATACCGGAACCCCTTCCCTCTCGTTAATGAGAAAACTATGAGCGCAGGGGGGGAAATTCTAATCCAAGTATCTTCCTGATCTGCTAGGTTCCTGCATGCAGGAAGCTTATTGTTGTTTCCCCCGCTGCCATTTCAAAAGCGTTCGCTTACTACCAACGGTTGGAAATAGCACGATTTAATTTAACACTTCATAACAGAAGTCCATTGCATGTGCCAATCCACCCATGTCACCTGGATTCACGATTTGTACCATCCAGGTTAAAAAGGCATTGCACTCCAGGTCCAAGCTTGACAGTGAGCCGGGGGTTGGGCACCAATGCAATGGATCTCAGTTGCACAGACGAAGTGCGCCCCTAGGTCCTGCGCCCCTTTACGACCCCTTTCCACCCTGAACCCAATCGAGCTTAGAAACTTAAGGCGGGCTCTGCCGACCACGCACTTTCGGTCAGGGATTGGCTGAGGAGGGAAGGGGGCGCGGCAGGGCGAATGACGGTTGGCGGGGAGGGCGGGACTATTCAGGGTGACACGTCGGACGGCGGCGCCAGCGCCAGCGGCGACTCTTCCAAGAGAAGCGGGAGTGACGTTTCCGCGGTGCTTCTCCCGTTCGGCGAGCACAGGCGAAGGACTGACCCCCACTTCTTCTCTAGGGCCGGCATGGAACGGCTGGACCAATAGGCGCTGCTTCCTCAAGGTTCCAGAATTGGGCCGGGCCCACCTCCTCCGTTACTTAGCTGCAGCTGCCCCTCCCTCTGTTCTGGACCTCACGCCGGTACCAGGTTCCGTCCCCGCCTCGTGGGAATGGTCCCTTGCTGCCTTGATCCCCAGGAGTGCTGTGCGGGTTGAAGAGCCCCCTTGGGATCTTCCTGGGC